CATCACCGTGACGCCACCTATTTGGTAAAGACGGCGACGTTGGGGCCTCACTTTCAAGGACTCGCGTGTTGACATTGTGTGAGATATTTGGGACATGGAAGAGCTAAAAGGTAACAACTGTCATAGTGGGTCCTAGTGAACGCACCCACATGCAAGAACACAACCAGTTGAGCGAATCACAATAATAAAGTTTATTAAATAAAGAGAAGTGGTGGGGAGATCTGGATACGGGGTTGGAACTGCAAGGTCATCAACTGTTAAATGAGAGGACAGATGTGAATAGCAGTCGGTGGCAGAAGGATAATGCAGAGAAAGTCGGTGAATCTTACTTGGATAAGGGGTGGAATGGGTTTGATTGTTGCCTGATTGTTGCCTGAGGTTGCATCGGAGGGCTGAGGTCCAGAGCTCGCTAATCCGGCGAGCGGAGCACGTTGGAGGACGGGCAGGTAAGAGCAGCTGTAGCGGACGGTTGGCAAACGGAGAGCTCGATTCATCCAGGGGCGAGGGTACTGGCTTCCAACAGGTACTACCTGAGGCGTCAGAGGGGGTAACGGTTCCTCGGGAGGCTGACCGGAGCGGAGATCACTCGGAGACTTGTATCCACAGGCTACACGCTGGGAGACGGCTGAAAACCTGACGAGAGGGAAACACATCGGGAGATCACTCAGGTGAATAACTCAGAGGGCCTAGCTCAGGGAAAGTTACCATTCTAGGTTAACACTCAGGCACCGGAGTGTTTGCCAGCCGCAGCATAAATACTCCACTTCAGCCCTCTTCAAATTAGCCACAGGTGCGTCAACAGGGTCTGCCACCGCATGTTCCAGGGGCTCAGCCCATCGAGGACCTCTGGTGGATGGTGAGGAAACAGCAGGCAACAAAACAAAACCCAACCCCAAGATTACAAAAAAAAACAAAACAAAACACTGATCCCAACAGTACTCCCCCCTCAACGGTTGCCACCCGGCAACCGCGAAGAGGAAGCCCGGGACGAAACAAAATCTCTTATCAGAGTGGAATCCAAAATAAAGGAGCGGGGGACCCAGGAACGCTCCTCCGGACCGTAGCCCTCCCAGTCGACGAGGTACTGGTAGCCCCGACCTCGCCGACGGGAGGCCACGATCCGACGGACGGAGTAGGCTGGATGACCATCAATAATCCGGGTGGGAGGAGGGGGTTCGGTCGGGGGGCACAACTCACTGGTCAGGACAGGTTTAAGCTGTGAAACATGGAAGGTTGAGTGTATACGAAGGGATGAGGGAAGACGGAGACGCACTGCTGCTGGATTGATAATGGACAGGATTTCAAAAGGTCCAATGAACTTAGGTGCCAATTTCTTAGCCATGGCCTTGAGAGGGATATCACGGGTGGAGAGCCATACCTTTTGCCCAACAGTATATGCCGGTGCAGCAGAGCGCCTACGATCAGCTACGCGTTTGTTTTGGGCCGCTGTGTTATGGAGGGCTGCGATGGTCTCTCTCCAAATCTTCTGGGAGCGACGGATCTGGTGTTGCACAGAGGTCACCGAAATGTCCTTCTCATCAGAGGGGAGGAGTGGTGGTTGATATCCTAGAGAGACTTCAAAAGGGGAAAAACCTGTCGCAGCAGACACGTGAGAGTTATGGGCGTATTCAACCCAAGGCAAAAATTGGACCCAGTCAACAGGATTGGAAGAAGTGAAACATCTGAGAGTTGCTTCCAGCTCTTGGTTCATACGCTCAGTTTGTCCGTTAGTTTGGGGGTGATGGCCCGATGTGAGGGTTACCTTGGCTTCTAAAGCTGCACAAAACTCTCTCCAAACTTGAGAGATAAACTGAGGACCTCGATCAGACAGGATCTCCTGGGGAATGCCATGAAGGCGAAAGACATGTTTGATGAGGAGATGGGCGGTCTGAGAAGAAGTGGGTAACTTGCGGAGAGGAACTAGATGGCAGGCTTTCGAAAAACGGTCTATTACAGTAAGAATAGTAGTCATACCCTTGGAATTGGGTAGGCCTGTAACAAAATCCATGGCAATATGGGACCATGGGCGCTGGGGTGTAGGCAGTGGTTGGAGGAGTCCTGCCGGGGGCTGATGAGAAGACTTATTACGGGAGCAAACAGGACAGGCAAGTACAAACTCTTTGACATCTTTGTGTATAGATGGCCACCAAAACCTTCGATTTACGAGTGCAATAGTACGACTGATACCTGGATGGGCTGAGAATTTGGATGCATGGATCCACTGGAGAAACCGGGGCTTAATTGCTGCAGGAACAAACAATTTACCCGGTGGGCATGACTCGGGGGAAGGTTCAGACAGTTGTGACTGACGGATCAGGTCTTCGATCTCCCAAGTAACCCCTCCAACCGTGCAACTGGGAGGGAGGAGGGGAGCCGGACCGTCTTCAGCGTCGTCGGGGGTGTGTAACCTGGACAGCGCATCAGGCTTGATGTTCTTTGAGCCTGGTCGGTAAGAAATGGACAGATTAAAGCGGGAAAAGAACAATGACCATCTGGACTGTCGGGGGTTGGATCTCTTGGCAGCTTGAAGGTATGACAGATTCTTGTGATCCGTCCAAACTAAGACGGGGTGCCCCGCCCCCTCTAACCAGTGTCGCCATTCC